CCTTCCTTCCTTCCTTCCTTCCTTCCTTCTCTTCCTTCCTTCCTCCTTCCTTCTTTCCTCCCTCCCTCCCTCCCTCCTTCCCTCCCTCTCTCCTCCCCTTCCCTCTTTCATTCCTCCTTCATTTCTCCCTTACCCCTCTCCTTCCCTCTTCCATTCCTCCCTCATTCTGTCCTCCCTCCCCCCTCTTCCTTTCCCTCTTCCTTCCTTCCTCCTTCCTTCTTTCCTCCCTCCCTCCCTCCTTCCCTCCCTCCCCCCTCTTCCCTTCCCTCTTTCATTCCTCCCTCATTTCTTCCTTACCCCTCTCCTTCTCTCTTCCATTCCTCCCTCATTCTGTCCTCCCTCCCCCTCTTCCCTTCCCTCTTCCTTCCTTCCTCCCTCCTTCCTTCTTTCCTTCCCTCCCTCCTCCCCTTCCCTCTTTCATTCCTCCCTCATTCTCTCCTCCCTCCCTTCCATCTCCTCCCTCCCTTTTCCCTCTTTTATCTTCCCTCCCCTTCCCATCTCTTTTCTCTCTGCTCTCTTACTAAACCTGGGTCGGAGCTATTGTGAACAATAAGCTATTTAACCGTCCCTTGTTTTCCACGAGGCAATAAAATGCGCATACACGATATCTCTCTCTATTCCCGAGCAAGGGGGAGAAAAATCTATAATTGCTCAAATAAATGCATATCGCTTCAGATGGGTGGAAGCGACAGAAGAAACCCAGGGAGAAATCGTAGCACCGTTGTAAATCAGACTCTTTTTACTGTTATACAAAGAAAAAAAAATACTACATATCACTTAAAAGAAAGGAACTGAATACTCAAGGGCCAGAGAAAGAGAAAGGCTCAAATCTTTTTTTTTAAATGAAGCTTTTCTGTTTTGGTGCTCTAGAGAATCTAACTTTTGGATCTGGGATACGTGATCCTTGCCCTCCCAATTATTTCCCTGCACGGTGCAGAATAGAAGATGGATCACCTGGTGTCCTACTTTCCGTCTCTCTGCGGCTATTTGACACACTCTCTCTTTGGGGCTGAATGTGCTGATTTCTCACCGGTTTGGTTCCAGCAGCTTGGGAAAGATTTGTGTTGTTCTGATTAGATGTTAAA